TTTCATTTTCAATACGATACCGATAATGTAGCTTTGAATATTGACCCATTCTAGTATTGACCCAATACTATATCAGCATGAGTCATATATACTTTTATTGCTTGCTTTATCTTGTTTATTCAACTATTGTCACCCATTCAAGGTAGGCAATAAAAAGTTCTACTGGATTCACTTTGTATTAGTCTTTTTCCTGTTTCACAAAGGTAGGCAGCATCTTGACAAAGTCATGATGGCAATTATTTTACATCCAAGTAGTATGCAGTTCTTCATATATACACACACACATCAATTTCAAACAAATGGTATTGGTATGGTATCGGCCAATACTGCACAGCCAGGTATGGGGTATCAGGGCCAAAAAATGGCATCAATACTATAATCAATAGCCAACTGGGACAGCCTTATCCTGGGATACTTGAATCTTGATTAAACAATCTAGATTGTGTAATTATTCTAAAAGTCTTACATTTTCAATTGTTAATTCCATCCCTAATCTTACACATTTAGAGTACGTTGTGTTTCAGAACTGCCTAAGAAACAGTTCTGAAAAACAACCTCCAGCAGGTGGATGTTGCTACCTTTAAACCAACTTAATTTTCTCCAAGAACCTCATTTCCAACCAATATCATTTCAGCCTTTGCCATAACAGTGTAAACAGAGAGAGGAATGACACTGCATTCTACCTAACAACCCTGAAAACCCCAGTACCATTTTTAGCCCAAGATAACATTTATCTTTTTCTATCACATCTCTTTAAAAAAATAAGAGACAGAAACGAGCCCCTATATGATGTCTCTAATGTAATGGGCTGTTCTTCTGAAACTGATCCAGAGGATGACCTTTAAGCAAGCATGGTCAAATCTTCAGCCTTTCCACCTACATGTCTCTCTTACACACACAGATATTGAAGCCCCTGAATCCACTTTGGGTTTGAGCTTAAAGGTATTTACAGGCCTGGATGGAGTGTGACTTCCTGTTCACAGGCGTATGAGCAAAGATCACTGGTAAGCAATAAAAACCACCTGCTTAAGCAATGGCATCCTGATGAGCTGAGAGACAGCTTTAACAATGCAATGAAATGACAACATGTCAACATCATCAGGCACCGGTTTCAGTTCCTGCTTTTCTTGAAACCCTTCCAAACTCTGGGACACAGACTAATAAAGCTCTACCTAACTGAAACCGTCAGAGGAGCCTGTAAATAGGGTATTATAATGTAATAATATCTTATTTACTGTGTAAAACGATATGACAAGGTGTCATACTACTGGGTATGTCTTTACCACATGGACTGAGGTCAAAAGGATAGGATGTCATGCAACAAAAAGAAATGAAATGTTCTAGTTCTTTTGTAAATCCAAAAATTTATTTGCATTAACTACATCCTGTTGATGTTAAACCGACAAGTAGCCGAGAGTTCAGTCAACTTTAAAGGTTTTAACAAATGCACTTGGAAACAAGACTATAGCTTATTAGAGCTCAAATAAAACAACAGAAGAGCAATAAAGAGGGCAATAAAGGAAGGAAGAAGCTCCTAAACAACATATCAGCCTGTGTTAGAGAGCTCCACAGATTTCACATTTCGATTTCTATGCTTTCATTTGGCATTTTCAGCATAGGGGATGTAGAAGTTTGGAGCTTTAGGAATCGATGCACACATGCAGAGATTTATTGGCCTCCATTGTGGGAAATATTTGCATTGCAATGCTCTCTCTTCACAGAAGAGCAAATTCACAGAACAGGTTTGGCAGTCTATGTCAAATGAGCAAATCCAGTCCTGCGGTTATACACAACTTTATATTTGTGTTTTTAACAAAGCAAAGTGTGAAACTGTGTTTTGCTAAAACCACAAACTTAACTGGATTGTATTTGATGGATCAAAATGGCAAAGTGAAAGGAAGCCAACACTGCGTTTTTATTAAAATAAAATTTAAAAAGAAGAATCTGGAAAGCATGGCATACATTTCTTCTCAGTCTTTTTTTCACTTTTTTTTTCTTGCAAAATATTCAAACACAAAAATGGTTTGATCTGTTCCATTCCACTCCTTTTCTGAATTTATGTTCAGGGTCAATGTCTGCTTGAGGGTAAACCACAGCCTCGTGCTTTTTGCAGCGTTTCACAGCTTCTGATCTGGGACTGCCCAGCAAATCTAATAGTTGCATATTCATGCAAAATATTTTCTGTTTCCCCTATATGGCATATGGCTGCTGCAAAATAACTGATTTCTTTATACCTTTTATTCTTTAACTATGAACTTCTAACACATTCTAGCACCTTATGAAATTTTTAGGCAGCTTTCTCTGCTTTTGATAACCAAATATAAAATCCATGTGCTGATCATGGGCGTAGGTTTGCATAGGGACCATAGGGACATGACCTACTTGTCTCTACCAACAATTAGATGTGAATATGTTTATAACATATTCACATCTAACATGTTTATAATTTACAATACAGCTTTGTTGCAGCAGTTGAAGGGATGGATAATATTGAAAGAAGAAAACATTTTTGTTTATATATATTTTTTTACAATTTTGGTATAATTCCTGCTCTAAGTGGGTCACTCTGTGGGCTAAAGACATGTTTTAGAGTCTCTATCCTCCAGTTAACGATTAATTAATTGCTAAATTTGTTGACATTTCAATAATCGATTCCAATTAATTGTTTCAGAGCAAGGTAAAATACATGATATGGGTTAAATAGAGTAACTACAGCCTATATTACTTGTAAAGTGAAAAGAATATTCTAAATGCTCAGTGTCAGTTCCAGTGCTCATGTAAATACAATATATTTATTTGGTGTCCCTTGAATCTATTATTTTGCTTTGTTTCATGATACAGAGAGAATATTTATGTTAGGGTTCCAGTTTGTGTGGGTTGTTTTTTTTTTTTTTTTTTCCTCCCCCCACCACCAGGCGGTGCCCTGTTCTCGTTGGGCCTCCCTGCACACCTGCGGCTCCTTGGGTCATTACCGGAGGAGTATTTGAGCTACGGACTGCCACCACCTCGACGCCAGAGTGTTTGCCAGTATTGGGTACTCTAGCCTTACTGAGATTAGCTGAGTCTAACCTTTGCCTAGTCTCTCTGAGTCTAAGCCTTGCCTTTGTCTTTGTTCTCCAGTAGGAAGCCCTCCTGATCCACTGGATAAGCCTGGTCCTTCTACTCTACTTGGAAGGAATAATTCGAGTCACACTGAGCATGTGGAAACCTTCACCAGATCTGTTCAAGCCCACTTCAGGAAATACCGGTGACAGTCAGTTCCATTGCTCCTCTGGACCCAACGCAAGTCTGCCTGTCCACCCTCCAACTAGTTCATTCATTTCTGGATTAAACCCCCCTACAAACTGGACCCAAGGGAAACCAAGAATCTCCCTAACTTTCCGGTTCACCAGACCGCTGAAGTCTCACTGCGATAACCCTGCATATAATCTCTATCTCTATTTTTTGTCAACCTCTCAATAAACCTGTTAACGTTTCCCCTGGCTCTCTGAGTGAATCTCTGCATGTGGGTGAGATCTTTAAAACCCATCATGACGATTTAAAAGAAAAAGTGGGTTTTACCACTGCACAATTGTATATCTTCAAAAGAAAAAACAGGATAAATCCAAATATAACAGACACATTTAGACTATATTTAGTTAAACAGACTTACTTTCTGTCTTAGTTGCTTTTAATTTCAAATGCAAACCTTTTCAAAGAGGAAAATAGCCCTAATTCCTCATTCATCATAGCCGATGATGCTTCAAACACTGATAAACAGCATCTAGTGTGTGTAGCGCTTATAAAATGTTTACAAATGTAGCAAGAAATGCTGCTTTTCTCTTTAAACAAAATACACCCTGATTTTCACATCAAGCACAGGACCAATGACATCAGACCAATAGTGTCCCTACCAAAGTTGAAATCAAACCTGCTGATTATGGTATAGGTAATTATCTAAATAGTTGATTAGAGGTGAGATATTTTGCACAACAGTGTGTTCCATCCTCAGAGGAGCATCAGAGGAGGCGATTGGCTGGTGAGGAGAGTCACAGCATCAGCATCCTTTAACCCAGTGCCCTTCTTTCCAGCTTCTCAAATACCCCCATCCCCCTACATAGCTATGCCTGGTAGCACACTGTATGTGGCAGACAGCAGTAGAGGGAGGGGGATTTGTTGCTATCGGACCCCACGACCCCCCTCCCCCCTTCCCTCTCTCTCTCTCTCTCCGCATGCGAGCACATGGCATCCCCCGCCCCTACCCCCTTTTTTTTTTTTCTTACAATGATGAATGTGACGCGCCGACATGCGAGCGCACAGTAATTGGACGTCATTAAGGCGCAGAACCAGATCCACAAAAAGTAAAAAAGAAAAAACAAAAGGTTAAGGAAATAAAAACGTTTCCATAAACACCAGAAAGAGCTGCGACCATAAAAAAAAAAAAAAAACAAGCAGCAGGGGCTTTGCTCTCATGGGTTTTTTTTTTAATGAAAGGAGTCTCTGTGTGCATTTAAAAAGAAATAACACAGCCTGAATACTCTATATTGGAGGCACAAATTATTCCCTTTTTTTTATAGCTCCAAGCTTCGCGGGAGGTGGGGAGCGATTGGTGCGTAAAAGGAAACCATGCGTTTTTTCTGCTGCTTTCCTTCTGCGGCCCCGAAACCATCCATGTCCTGATCAAGGATAATATAACTATTTATAATCAAATATAACTAATTACTATTTTAATTAGACCGCTGAATATCTCAGTAGTGATACCGCAAAATAAGAAATGAGAGATTCATGCTCCTGGATTTAAAAAAATTTAGTTTAATGTGAAGTTTTATTTTATTGTAATGATTTTCAGTTTTTCATTGAATGCTGTCCTGCAGCTCTCCACTAAATCAGTCCCACTGCAACCACTAAATGATGAAAACGTCTGAATTAAGCCTAATTATGCTGATATTGCAGGTGTTGTAGTTAACCCAGCTGTCTCCAGGTGATTTGAAGGGCGCCCCCCCTCCCCATCCATCACTCACCTCACAGTCATACAACTCGCTGAGCTGCTCAATGATCCACTCCTCCAGGTTCAATCTCTTCCGCAGCTCTTTCCTGTCGTACTTGACCGTCACTTTGCCCTGCTTCTTCTGCACCGGGTCCTCCCCGTTGATAGGAGCGGAGCTCACGCAGCCCACACCGGGCGCACCTTGGAAAAAGACTCGGCTGCCTGCGGTGGGCAGAGGGGCACTGGTCTCGGTGCTGGCGGCCGACATGTCAGGATGAAAGGGTTTTGTTGCTTGAATAAATGTGTTAATGGAGTGATAAGGGGGGAGAGAAACACTGCAGAGCTGCGCGGCAGACAGGAGAATGTGCAGCAGCTTTTAAACAGTTGCTATTTAAAGCGCAGCGCCGTAGAGAGACGAGGGGGCGGAGCCTGCGCTGCAAGAAATGCAGGATGGTAGACGTCGATTTGGGGGTGACATTTCCTTAATTTAAAAAAACAGAGGAAACTTTGGTAAATATAATTACTGGATACACAGATGTGAATCAAATAATTCAATTTATCTATGGTAGGTGATATTGGAATGTCAGACTTCAAATAATATCTTCAGGAACAGGTGAGGTTTATAGACGTCAGTCTTTTCTTGCAGTGGATGAACCGATTCCCCTCAATGGTCTTATGAGAGTCACACCAGTCTTAATAACAGTGGTGCCACCAAGAGGAGGCAAATGGTAACTCCAATAAATTCTAATTGAAATGGTCCTATATGGCACCCAGGCTACTATATGTGCAGGAGTAAGTAAAAAAAAAAAAAAATATATATATATTCCAGTGTAGTTTTTGGGTTTGAAGATGCCCCAGAGACTATTAAGAAAATTGTTCAGATCATTTTGCCTGCACAAAAAGATAAATCTCTGTCCAGTTATTACTGGCACTTTCTTATAAATGCTAACAGAATTTTCTTCTCAAAATAACCCCGGCAAAATCTTTTGCTTAATTGGATTAATAAAATTCTGGAAGATGTGTTTTTTTTTTTACAAACATTTTGACCTTGTGTGAACTCTATCACGGGAACTCCATTACATCAATATGTTGAGAGGGTGCAAAAAAAGGACCCAGGCATGAATGTTTGATGAACATGACGGTAGCTGAACCGACAAGGACATAAAACCAGTGAGGAGAACAGGACGAGGAACACTTGAGAAGAAACTGGCAACAAATTCTGAAGAGCATGAGGATCTGGAGGATGGAGAATGCAAGTTAAAAAACATGAGGGACTCTGTGTATGTGGAGCAGCTTAGACAAAGAGAAAGCAATCAGCTGAAGGAGGATGACTAATTAATACAGGTGTCTAACAGAAATTACTTTAAAAGTAGACAAGTATGGAAAAAATACACAAAAATATTAGCAAAAACAAGGAAGTGAGAAAGGTGTCAAAAAGGAAACCCAAATAACTAAGGATCGCACTTATTGTTAAGGAAAAAATAGTCAAAGTAAAAGCACATTCATGACTCATTCACATTTGTCCCACTACCAGGGGTATTTGATCATTTTTTCCATAGGTCACCTTTTAATAGATTTTTTTTTAATTATTTTGGACTCTGTCTTGAAGGAGCATTTTTACCTCCACCAAGGAGATTATGCTTTTAGTTGAGTTTGTGGGTGAGGTTGTGTGTTTGTTTGTTTGTTTGAAAAGTTATGAACAGATTTTACTACATTTTTACCAAAGGTGCACCTTAATCCAAGGAACAATACATTCAATTTTGGTGTTGATCTATACATCATAATCCAGATCCAGGATTAAAAAAAAAAGGATTCTTTAACATTGGCGGAGCAAGCAGTTTCCCCCTAAACCAGAGCGTGGCAGCAGTGTCTATTGACAGCTTAAGCAAGTATTATACTGAAGACAAAAACACAGGAAAGTTGAACCATGCCTTGCTCAAAGTCTAGATCTACTGATCAAACAAGAAAACAGAGTGAATAAAGAAGATGGAAAAGGAACATTTGATAATGACCCAAATCATGTGTGAGTTTTATCTATAGGTGTAAGTCATAATACAGGGCAAAATTAGTTGCTTGGCAGGCTTCTGACTCTCCAAGTGCTTTTCTAATTTAATTTAATGTGAATTTTGATTACTATTTCCAAAAAACAGAAATCTTTCCTCAAAACCTGACCTGGGTCCATCCCTAAACTAAAGCTGATATATTCAAAGTAACAATTCAGGGTTTCTGCAGGTCATTAAAAATCATAAAAGTCATTCAATTATTATTTTTTAAATTAAGGCCTTAATTTGCATTAAAATGTATTAAATGTGATTATCGTGACATTTAAAATGCTTTATTTAAAAAAGAATAAAAGGTTTATTTAAAACAATTTTGTCAGATATGTTGTATCGTAATATATTTGCCCTGAATGGCTTCCAGTTGATCGTAAAGCCGTATGTTCAGAAAAGAAGCTTGACGCAAAAATGCAAATTCAAATATATATATATATATACGATTTAGGAACATTAAAAAGCATTAATTAGAGTTACTAATTATTGTATGAACCCTGCAATTGCTTAAAGAATAACAAATTTTGGTCTAAGTTCAGATGAGTTTATTCATATAGTGTCAGTACAGAACAAACATCATCTCAAGGATATTTACAAGAAAGTTAATACTCCATTTGAATTAAACTTTGGGTTTTATCGCAATTTGGATATTAATAAATTATCGAAACACATTCAATTGGCTGCTTTATGTCCAAAATGCTTTTTAGGATCGCTCAAGTAAAATTCATACTATGTTTAGGAATTTTGTTTGAGATTTCAGCTTGTATGTAGGCTGATCAGGCAACCCAGTACTGTAAAAGAGCAAAGTGGAACATTAACCTACCGGGCAGGACTTTGAAACACAGACCTGTCGACTTGTATGTTGCTGTAATTTTTTCATGACCCAGTCAACCTGGGGTATGCTGTTTTTCTTCAACACCAGAGTACCAAGCCCATCTGTCTTTCCCCATGACCTGACTCAGCATAAAGGCCCACTTCAGATAACAGAAGAAGTTTTTTTCTTTTTTTCTTTTTTTTTACACGTGGTCACACACTCAGCTTATGTAGTCCCACTTATTCAGGCAGCTACTCAGTCGGACATGGCTTTGTTGTCCGTCCTCACACCCGTCCTCGCGTTGGTCCTTTGCATGGTGGCAGGCTTTCTGTTTCTGAAATCTCGTGCACCGCAATCCAACCTGAAAGAAGGGGGACAAGGTAAGGGGCCCTCAAAAAGTGGCTTCAGACCCTGGGTGGATCAGGACTTGCAGGATGACACAATATTAGCAGAAGGAGGAGGAGGTGAGTGCCTTTTATCTAAGCAGAGTTCACTTTCTAACCATTGATAAAAGGTTGTTTAAAGCTTTGGATTTGCAGAGCGTAGCAGTCAAACTGCAAAAAAATAAATAATGTCCTAAACAGGCTTTACATGGGGAAAACATACAGAGGTGATTTGAAGGACTGAGATGATATAGGGTGATGATGATGACATAACTTGATGATTATAACTTTCATACTTTATGCACAAGAATTATCAAGACTTCCAGGCTTTCATTTTTCCATTAAACCCAGGGTCCATATCCACAGAGATTCTCCGAGTCCTCTCATAGAGTATCTAACTTAGTCTAAAAGTGACAGCCAAGGAGTTTTCTGGCTCACTGGTTGCTAAGAGCGGCTCAAGAAGGAGACAGAAAATCCTTTCTCAGCAAGGAAGTGTGGTCGACTCCAATTCTGAAGAATGAATTAATAGAATGAAGACTGGATTTAGAAATTGTTGTCAAGATGTTACTTAGAAAAAGTAAGCAAATTGTCACACAGCATCAAAATGGCTGAATATACCTTATTTAAATGTTTTTTTTTTTTTTTGCTTTGCTTGTTGTAATGTTTACTCTTCTTGCTTGTCATTTTACTATCTTGCTCATTTGACCTCAGCTTCTAAATAGTTGTATGAGTAACCTGTAAATGTTAAAAAATGAAGCTGGCCCAAGGGACAAACCAGTTGCAATCGATTCTGTCAGTGCATAATATCATACAAATTGTATTAAGTATTATGGATTCAGTCTCCAGGAGCACTGGCCCCTGATGGGCCCTTTTTAGAACCGCCCATGGTTCACTCACCTGTGTTTTACTGAGATAGCTTGCTTATAAAAAGTGGTTTGATTTGGCAAAATTGAGTACCAGTTTAGTAACACATATGGAAGTGGCCCAAATTGGATATTCTGGGAGGTGAAAAAATCTGAATTTAGCCATTCAGATTCATGTAAAATTATGATATGTGAGATATGTGTTTCATATTGCCAATGGGTCGGGTTCGGGTTGCATTTGCCTGCAGAGTGAAAATAGCCCTAGAAGTATGTTAATTGTGACAGATCAGTTGTTCTTTTTCTCTACTTTTATGCACCAGGCTGCGACGAAAGAAGAGATTAATGCATTAATCAAGAGCCAAAGAGAAAATTGGTCACACAATACATTTTCTTTACGGCCATTTAGTCTGTAGATGCTGACATCATCCAAATACACTAAATATTTTCTCACTTCTAAAACATCTTGCCACTATGTACATATAACTATTATTACTTTATATATTATATTTACTTTTTTTCCTGTGATTTTTTTCTAAAGCTTCTACATTTAGAAGCTGCCATAAAGCCTATGGTGCTCTATAAGTAGATTTTATTTAATATTAGTATCATTTTAAGAAAAATCTTACATATTGAGAAATTACATCATTTTTAAAAAAATATTGTCACTAAGGGCCACTTTCAGTCTTAGTACCGTATTTTCACAACCATAAGGCGCACCGTACTAAAAGGCACAGTCTCAGTTATGTGTGCCAATACAAGCCCGAATACTTACCTGTTGTATAAATTCTCACATAACCATTTCTCTTATATGCCCAACATTTCTGTTTTGCATACGTCTATTAAAATGCCTATATTATTTAATTACTAAATGCCCAAATAAATAATTATATTGTTTTTGCTCTATTCTGTGTTACATGCCAGATGGAAAAGAGAAACATATTAAAAAACTTAAGCATTAAATCATCTTCAATTTATATTTCATGAATTGCATATCATAAAAAGCTTATATGATTTACTGTTAAAAGTATCCCCTTTTGCATGTATTCTTTGTCAATTCTTGTAATTTATTTTACAAGAATCATAATAAATCCATGAATCTAGTGTATAGACAAATCAGTCAACATACTTTTTCCATGCATGTTTTGTTTATTTCTTTTTTTTTTTTTACCATGTCCATTACATTTTATGGGTATATACAAATACTCTTATATTTATGTTTTCTGCTTGTAAAGTCAGTAAAGTTGGTATTAAAAAATATATGCACATGTACCATTAGATATAGGCTTTTGGTATTAAATAAAATGTCAGCCTTTTAAATTTCAGTATTTTTTTTTTAAATACAGCATTTAATAATATTTCCTTCTTTATCATGAAACATTTGAGTGATATTTGAAAGTCAAAACTTTATTTGTCCCTTTTGTTCGATATGGAAATAATTTCCATTAAAAAAACTAGTCATTAAACTGACCTAACTTAATTAATTCGTTTTAAACATCATAAGCCTCAGGTTTAATTGCTTTGTCATCCTTTTAGATGAAGATGAATGGGTGGAAAACGACGAAGAGAAGGAACTAGCGCATGTGCCCTATTCACCCCAACGATACCCAGAGGAGGCCATGCTGCAGAGGTCCAGTGATTTTTACTGCCTGATGAACCAGCGGAGATCTGTCCGATTCATAAGCCCTGAACCAGTCCCAAGAGAAGTCATCAATAATGTCATCCTCACTGCAGGTGAAAGTAAAACAATTATCTGTTCACACTTTTGCTGTATTTAAGGGGCCAATAAAAGTATTATAACTGATTTAAATATTTTTAGACTGTATTTATTATTATTATTTATAATGAGCACACAGCTGATTATTCAATCATCATTTATAAATATGCTCATAAACACGTTCTTGTTAGGGACGGCGCCAAGTGGAGCTCACACAGAGCCCTGGACATTTGTTGTTGTGTCTGATCCAGAGACAAAGCACCAGATCAGGCTGATTGTTGAGGAAGAGGAGGAGGTGAACTACCGCCAGAGGATGGGAGATAAGTGGGTCCATGATTTGGCCCCATTAAGGTTAATATACATAATTACTCCACGTCTTTTCATTAATACGCTTACTAGAAAAAAGGCGAAAAGGATCAACTTATATGCTTTTGCAAAAATACTAATCCAAAATGTATCTTGCGTTTTTCTGCATTTCAGAACAAACTGGATTAAAGAATACTTGGATGTTGCTCCATACCTGATCCTCATTTTTAAACAGGCTTATGGGATTCTACCAAATGGCAAAAAGAAGACCCACTATTACAATGAAATCAGTGTCTCCATATCCTGTGGGATCCTTCTTGCAGCTTTACAGGTCAGGAATACTATTATAAAATATAGGTCAAAGTTAAATTCATTTTAGTACAAACTTAAATTCGTCAGTCTTCAAAATAAGCATCCACATAGTTAAATAAAAATTTAAAAATGAATGTGTGTCTGTCAGAATGTAGGCCTTGTTACCGTCACATCCACACCCCTGAACTGCGGCCCACAGCTCAGGCTCCTCCTCAAACGACCAGCCAATGAGAAGCTGCTGATGCTGCTTCCTGTGGGTTATCCAGCTGCTGACGCTACGGTGCCGGACTTGAAACGGAAACATCTGGAGGATATCCTGGTGGCCATCTGAACTAATTAGTAACATCTGTAAAAGTGTATCAGTTTCTTAAATATAAAATTTGTTAATCTAAATTATATTGACAGCTCAAGAGAAAATTGATGCTTTTTTTAGTAGTTGCTGTTGATGGTTCTGTTTGGCGAACAATGTTTTTTGCTCTTTTTAAACATTATAAATCATGGGTATTCAGTAATAAGATGGAATAATGTCCAAAGTAGCTGCTGCATGGCTGTTTTCTCAATGTGTCTCTCTTGGACATGAGTTATTAATGCAATGTGAACCTGTCCTTTAAAATATTTACATTGTTTAGCTCCTTTTTGCTTTGCAAAAAAATAACATTTTTTTTTCTAAACACAATATTTTAGATACTCAATGCTATAATTATAAAACCTATAGATCTGTTTTCTACCACTTGTCTATCAGGCCAGGATTCCAAACCCGGTGACTTCTTGCTGAAGGGTACCAGTACTGCAAACTCCACCATGCAAAAATGTATATTTTATTTTCTATTTACAATCAGTCAAAAGGCCAAAATCACAAACACACTAATTCCATTATTAACACAAACACACCTAATGGGACAATTGGAGGGGTCAATTACTCTGGCATATATATCTAGATTCTGAAGGGATACAACTTGTTGATTATGTTATTAACTACAAGTTAATAACATAATACACTGAAAAAATAATGCAACTGCTTTTGATACTTAATCATATTTAGTTACTTTAACACAATTATTTCACGTTAGCAGGGTAGGACATAAAAAGTTTTGTGTTAACGTAACTAGATATGATTAAGTAAATGCCAAAAGCAGTTGCAACATTTTTTAGTGTATAAGCACAATTGCCATCAGACTTTAAGATATACAGTTATATGGTGCTGAGGGGAACAGTGAAAGATGATCTAATGTAATAATTAGCACATGGCATTTTTCACTTTCATGTGTGATTGTGCAACTTTCGGCTGTCTCCAACACAAAATGTTGATTTTATGCATGTTACATTTCAGGTAGGTGACATGCAGCATGACAGCTTAGACTTATGTTAGTTAAATAAAAAAGAAAAGCCAAATAAAGATACGAGAAAGCAATGCATATGGAACACTTGGGCATATTTGAACTCTTTTTTTTTTCTTGCTATAAATATGCAGTCATCAAAAGCACGTAAAAAAAAAGAATCAGAGTTGGGCACCATATATTTGCTTATGAAGCACGACACTGAATGAAATATTGCGACTATAAAGACATTTTGTTAATTTTTGGTTCAAAATAGTACGGTTGAACAGCTTTGATAGTTTTTTGGAAGCTAAATGAATTAAGTTTTGTAAACCACACCTTTCCTGTAGTAGAAACTTAAATTATGAACCAAAAAGGGCAAAAAGCGCTTGTACTTCTTGCGGAGGATGAGTAGAGCCCACCTGCCCCCACATATCCTCACCACCTTCTACAGAAGCACCATAGAAAGCGTTCTGACCAGCTGTCTCACTGTGTGGAGTTTAGACACTAAACTAGCTCTCTTGTTTTAATCACTTTCTGCTCTTCCTTTAATGAAATAGCATCACCTGGGACCCCTCAGGCACATAAAAAGTTGCCTGATTCTGTCATTTTCCATCTACTGACCCTCCCAAACAACTCACATATTTGTCAGTAAAGCTAAGTGCTCCCACATCTCTCTTTCTTCATGGTGCCCATCTACATTAAGATCCAGAATTCTGAGATTAAAGTCAGAATTTTGAGAAAAAAAGTCAAAATTTTGAGATTAAAGTATTTTTTCTCATAATGTCTAAAAATCAGTTAACTTTTTATTTATTTTATTTTTTTTAGTGGCCCTTTTACTCTTCCATACTGCCGGTCAAAATGGGAGACAGCTATATATTTGACATGTAGGTTCACATCCAGGCCGTTATGGTCTGTATTTAAACAGGAGAACCAGCTTTTAAATCTTTCCTTGGAAAAAATTCAGAAATCAAAAGCAAAAGGTTTGTCATATCCCCTCTTTGTTTTTTTTTTCAGCCCTCCCTCGATACAAATTAAAGAATAATGCTTACTTGGCTTTTTTTTGTGTGTGTTATGTATTTTTTTTAATTATTTTTACGTATTCATTTATCTTTCATTACAATTCTGTTATATTCGACGTATGTAATCATAGATATCCTTGATTTTCGATTTTTTTTCTCTCTCTCTTTTTAAAGTGTATGGCATAAACTTAACATCTGTTTACCTCGCAACTTGAAAGAAAAGAAAAAATATCAAGAAAAGTGTTAGGAGGTATGATTGACTATATGTTGTGCTTATTATACTTTATTGATTGAGTTTGTCATTGTTACTGTTCCAAATAAAGTTATTTAAAAAAAAAGGAAAAGAAAAGAAAAAAAGGTTCACGTCCAGTTTTTAAACAGCGACCTGACGGGGGCAGCAGCGCGCTATCGTTGTGTCTGCTTTACGCTAATTGAGGAGGAGAAGAAGAGAAGCCACATTGCGCATGCGTACACCACGTACACCGAATCATCGAGCTCTTTGGCTGGATGTTAGCAGGCTAGTGAACGAAAAGCCTGTCACATTTGGGGCTCTGACGGGGGGCAACACGCAACGGTGGGGAACAAGGGCGACCCCAGAGCCGCTTCAAAATGGCCGGACAACAGTTCCAGTATGATGACAGCGGCAATACGTTTTTCTACTTCCTCACGTCCTTCGTTGGACTTATTGTGATCCCGGCCACATATTACCTGTGGCCGCGGGATCAGAACGCTGGTAAGGCCTGGTGGCTGCTAACTTGGGTCACTTATTTCCCAGTGACTCCCAGAGGAGCAGTGGATGCTTTTGTATTGTAAAATAATTATACCTGTGGACGTGTTGTTATTTTCATATATTATTGTGGTAGAAGAAACACGCCAGAAAGATGATACACTTGTGTCTTTTGTGTCTGTTTAGGCATTTAGCTTCATGTGTTTGTATAAAACCATGTCGCTAATGCTTTATTTAAAGCTCCAATGTTAGTCCTAGAGTTGTTTTCTTAGGATCTGTTTTGATATCCTTCAGGATTTTTCTGCTATCTGTTTGTAAACAACAGAGATGCTCTTATGTAACTTAATCTGACAAAGTTCATTGGCTGCTGTTGCTTATTGAGTCTCTCTGTTGATGCTTAAAATGATTCGATCTGTTAAATAAAAGCTCTTTCTGACTGATATCAACCTATACTGGAGTGTTGAACATTTTCTCATATTTTGATCAGACTTAGCAAAGGGTATCCTATCAAGATTACAATGTTGTCATGTTTCTGATTGTGCTGATGTGTCAATAACTGCTCCCTGTGCATCTTCCTTGCAGAGCAACTGCGTCTGAAGAGCCTGAGGAGGGTGCATGGCAGGTGTCTGTGGTATCGGCTCAGGCTGGTCAAATCCCAGCAGAGCATGGTCCCAACACTAAAGTGAGTGCAAAAAGCTGGGCTTGATGGTTTAAAAAAGATAAAAAAGGCTGGTACCCTACGGGACACCACTTCTGACTGATTTACGGCAGCACGTTATTGCACCATAGTGAAATATTCAGCATTTGGCTTTTTAGATTAGTTTATTTCCTGCTTGGGTGTCAACACATCCTTTTACTCTTTAAAAGTTTACAACTTCTGTTATCTTTGTTGTCTGATCGAATGCTGTAATTATTTATCCGTCCGTCCATTTTCTGTCACGCTTATCTCTGCCGGGGTTCCGAGTGGTGCTGGTTCGTATCTCCAGGTATCAGTGGGCGAGAGGCGGGGTAAAACCTGGACAGGTCACCAGTCTATCGCAGGGCAACACAGACACAAACGAGACAAACAACCATTCTCACACACAATCATACCTAAGGGGAATTTAGGGAAGCCAATTAACCTAACAGTCATGTTTTTCGACTGTGAGCGAGTACCCGGAAAGAACCCATGCATGTAAGGGGAGAAGATGCAAACTCCATGCTGAAAGACCCTGTGCTGGTGTTCTGTCAGATGAGCATACCCCGTCAGACCAGCATACCTATAGTCAAAACGCATGCGCAAAACATCAGATTTGCGTTTATCCCTTTAGTTTTGTACGAAAAATATACTCTAAACTATCTCAATGGACATGTATCCCTTTAGTCATTAAAGAAACTTTAAATTTAAGGTCAGATCGCCTTATGCTTCACAAAACACCAAAACTTAAGTAATTAAGTAGTTTTTTTTGTACATGACTAAAGGGATATACGCCTGTTGAGGTAGTTTTAAGTGTGCTTTTTATACAAAGCTAAAGGGATAAACGGGAATTGACTATGTGTATGCTGGTCTGACCGGGTGTGCTTATCTGACAGAACACTGGGACTTGAACCAGGAACCTTCTTGCTGCAAGGCAGCAGTGCTGCCCACTGTAGCACTGTAATGATCAGTTGTTATTATGTGTAATATACCAACTGTGCGATCCTTATTGGTCACATGACTGTTAATTTAAAATGGCGCATTACATAGCTTTCTGATGAAAAGCTGACCACCTGCTAGTTTTGTTTCCAGATTATTTTGTTTAAATTCATTTGTGGCTTGCAGAGAAACCACTTCACTGCAGCTGGGTGACATTTACTACACACCCACACCCTAATTTAACAGACTTTTCTTTCAGTTTGTTGTCTTAATCTCTTCGTGATGTTTGCAGTCTCTCTAAACATGTTTCATCGCCTGACATAACCCCCCGCCCCCCCCCCCCCCCATGTTTTCTATGAGCTGCTTACATTTAATCTCTTGCAGCTTTTAAGCAGTTTGTCTTCTGACGCCCACATTAGACCCTTGCTCTGTCATTTACATTGCATCTTGTTTACATACTAAAATCTAATATTTGGTTTTTAGAAAGCCTCCACAAAGATCAGATTTTCGACAACATTGATCAGGGATAGATGCAAAAGTAACTGAACTATTTGAATGTTATATTCCTAGTTTTTTTTATAGTTTCAACAAAATTTAACGTGCCAATAAAATATGCTGCTCTTTGTCCGGAGCACAGAGCTGATGACATCCAGAATGGTAAAGGTCACACAGAGAGTTGGAGGGAAATGTGTCTCACTATGTTGAACAGCAGCATCACTATTGTTTGAGTTTCAAACACCGCACAGCTTTAAAGAAGGCTGTTGAAGAAATCTTTTCATTTGCCAGCTAATCACTTTTGTTTTACGCTTATTACAATCTCTATGGGACTACATCTCGTGTGTCTCAGACATCTGAAGTGGTGTAAGCAAGTGAGCTGTTGTTATGGCAACAGATGCGGCATGTATTTCCTTACTTTTGCTATTGTCATGGTAAAAAGTTTAACATCCATGCGTAAATTATAAACAACAACAACTATGCCAGAACCTCTGTGCCCTTCGGCTGCACTACGATAGATAGCTGGTACTCGGTTTTTTAACTTCCAGTCGTAACGGTGCCACCACAATCATCCGGTTAGAAATTAGAGGCTCTTCCCTGTCTGATAAAGAAAAATATTTTGTGTTTTTCCTCTAAGGACTTCTGCCTTTCCACAGTCTTTTGTCAGAGGAAATTCTCGAGTTCTCTGTTAAGAGAGTTTGAGTCAAAAACGAATTACAACAGCAGATTGTTAAATTCGAAAGCGTTGATATTTGGGCGTGCTTTGTTAGTCCAGTGGTTAGCCCGCATGGCACATGTACCGAGGCCTTAGTCCTCCTGAAAGGTATAAGAGAGGGGGAGAGACATTCAGCTAAGGACCACAGGCCACATTCGAACCCGGGTCACCCGTGTTGAGGACTAAGGCCTCCATAAATGGGTCATGTGCGCTAACCACTGCACCACCAAAGCACGCCGCCCAGTTTTACTACCATTTCTTTATTTTAGTTAGGTTATGGATTAGTATTATGCGTCAGTGCAGAAAACCTCTGTCAAATCTAAATTCTTTGGAGAAGACAAAGCCTTTGAGTGCGTTTCCAGCTTTGCTCATCAAACACAAAGCAAAACAAGTTTCAGAATTTCTACAGAAAACAATAAAACAAGACTTTCGTTATTGTAATGTTTTTTTATTTTTTTCCCTCAGAAAAGCAGCCTTGCTGTTTGGGTGGGCTGTGTTCCTGCTGCTAGCCTACAAGGTGTCCAAACTGGACAGGGAGTACCAGGAATACAACCCCTATGAAGTCCTCAACTTGGACCCGGTAAAATCCGTCTGAATGATTAATTTCTGTGTTTTTCCCAGAAACTTTAATAAAATGTTCTTTTTTTGCAGTTACCATAAAAATCCTAGCTTTGCCTTGAACAGTGAACATATAGATAGAACTGTGTTCTTGTCTCCAGGGTGCCTCGCTGCCAGAAATCAAAAAGCAGTACCGTGTACTGTCTCTAAAATACCACCCTGACAAAGGTGGTGATGAGGCCACATTTATGGCAATTGCCAAAGCATATTCTGCGTAGGTGTTGCTTTTTCTTATTTCATTTTTTTTCTATTTCAGTCAAATCAACATCATATTTCTGTATTTTGCATCAATGGATCATATTTATATATTTTTTCTGTGTTCTGCAGTTTAACCAATGAAAAGTCGCGATACATCTGGGAAACGTACGGTAACCCGGATGGCCCAACAGGTCAGTTAAAGCTTTAAAACAATCTATTTCTATCAGTTTATTTCTTTAAAACAAACTTTTCTCTTTCATACCAAAATGTTAGATGTAAACAGAGATGATTTTTTTAATTATGAACTACGTCCATCATGATAAAGAACTTCCTCCACATTAGTGATTTATTTGCTACAAAAACAACCAATGACAATTGTATAAGGTCAAAAAGGTGATTCAACTAAATAACAAACATTTGTTCTTCATGCGATCATTAGTCTAAACGCCAAATAATGAAGACTGTAACATTTCTAATTACTTATTTATGCACTATAACATAATAGTTACAGTGCACTATTTCCTGGGATAAAATGTATTTTAATTGGACAGTGACATACTTTTCACAATGTAATGCGATCAAAGCAAAATAGTTAAATCGTAGATGGCACTGTTTGTACGTTAATACACACCGGTATGGTGACAACAAATTAAATAGGAAAAAAACTTTATTGATCCTAAAGGGAAATTAAATGTAACAACTGGATAGTTGTTTTTTTTTCAACAAGTTATTGTAGATGTCGATAGCCATTGGCAGGAAGCCTCTTGCTGGTGATGCTCTGTTAATAAACAGTTTTCTGAAGAGGTTTTCAGCACTGCTGTCCATAATGTTCTTAATTTTATGAATAATTCTTCTTTTTGAAACAATCTCCAGAAGTTCTGGAAGAGTTCTTTTAACTGAACTTTTTACCAGCTTGTTGTTGTGTAGATATTCCTGCAGACTGCAGCCGAAGTTAGAGTTGAAAGGTTTTTAATTGAGAGGAAAAAAAGTCTTATAACATGAAAAGTATGCATTGACTAAAAAAACCTTCCTAATTATTATTTCAGACTTATTTGTGTTGATGAGGGTCGACAAGCTTTGTTTTTGTTAGAGGGAAAGAAAAGTAAAAATATTCTTTCTTGTTTTTTCTCACAGAGGATAGTTTGTTGTGTTGAAAGGTGGATTTATTTCTGTTTAGTTCAGAAAAAAATCCCTTTTTGACATAATAAATGCTCACAGAAAAAAGCCCTATCCACACCACAGAATAGGTCTTGAAAACCAAACCAACAGGGGGGGTCTAGATGTGTAAAAAGGTTCCTTCCCAGATGTATAACCTTTCTGCTTTGGTCTGCTTTGTCTCTCTTTTCACAGCCACCAGCTTTGGCATCGCCCTGCCTGCTTGGATTGTTGACCAAAAGAACTCCATGCTGGTATAAAAATAGTAGCATGAATTATTCAAACAATGTTATGAGCAGCTGTTTTTTTTTTCTTGTTAATTTTGCACCTTTTCTATGCTGACAGTGACACTTTTCTTCTTCAGGTGTTGTTAGTCTATGGCCTTGCCTTCATGGTCATCCTTCCTGTAGTTGTGGTAAGCTTATAACGGGATTTTTACCTTTTAAACTTGGCATTTTTCAGTATATGTTCTAATTTTTGCCTGTTTTCTTCAGGGAACATGGTGGTACCGCTCAATCCGATATAGTGGAGACCAGATTCTCATCAGCACCACTCAGCTTTTTATGCATTTTATGTGCAAGACACCAAACATGAACATGAAACGTGAGTTTCCTCTTTAATGCTTGTATTTTCTTTGAACTCCATCACACTTCTCATTCAGCTCTGTATGTATATGTGTATATGAGTAAAAAGAATATCATTTTTTTATTCTTTATGCCAAATCTTGCTTCCAGGTTTAATCATGGTGCTGACTGCAGCCTTTGAATTTGACCCTCGCAGCACTAAAGAAGCCACCATAAGACCCACAGACAACACTGAAGTGCCACAGGTAAAACAAACCTTCTTTTGGGGGCATTTTGACCGAAAATATTTCATCACCCTTAAGGTTCATTCAGACCTATTGCAAAGTCCCCAGTGATTTCAGGAGCATTGCAGGTAGTTCACAGCTCTGCATTTCAGATGCACCGTGTTTAAACCCTGGACCTCATCATTGAATAGGAGTTTCAGTTGTGTAAAGCTGGCACTCCACCCATGTGAACAACACTCAGCAAATAGACTGAATGGTTATTGTTTCATTAGTGCATTTTTGTCCTGTTGAATTTACATTTCTAAAAATAAATCATTTATTTTCAGAGATAATAAAGATAATTTTTTAGATCATCCAAAGGTCAACTATTCCTCGTTAAGCTCCAAATTGAATGAAAATCACCTGCATTTTCAGTGCTACTTAAGTTTGTCCAAGCAAAATTGTTGGTTGTGCTGATTTTGTTTTTAAGACGGAATCATTTTTAATTTTGGCCGATGGCGTCACCATCCCTGCAGACGTTAGTGCTGTGCTTGTTTCCAGAATAAAGTTATTGCATAACATCACGTCATTCCTGTGCTTGTTTTAAATGTAACAGCGGGCAGTTTTACAGTTTATTATTTAGTGGCTGGAATTATTATTTAAGTTCAGTAATTCCCCAGCCTCATCAGTTTTGACCTGCCACTACCCCTGGCAACCCCACAGCATTTCCTGTCAAGATCTAATTGTCGGCATTTAAAAAAAAAAAAAAAAAAAAGCTAATTGCTCTCTATGAACAACTTTTGAATTAGCTTGGGGAGACGCTCAGTTTTTGGAAAAGTCTTGGGAGCGCTGATAAAATAAGTATGCTTTGGTTCATCCAGAGCTGCATCTGGATGACGGTCGGATTTGGCGGGACTTCCTTTTAAATCTATCAACACAGAAAGCACAGATGCTGGGCAATGGGCAGTGACAGTCCAGGCTCTGTGCTGGAGGTAAGGGAGGATGATGAACTGTCTTTCTAAGGCTAAAGTAAACATGATTTCCTCAATGTTCGTAGGGAAGCGGCTGTTCCAACAGCTGCAGTTCTGAATTCTCCCGAGTGGTGCACGACTTTTCACGACTGAATAAAGTGAATGTAATTAGTCGATTATCAAGGGGGCGGGATTGTTGTGGCGTAAGGTTCGCAAGCTTTTTGGTTGTGGTTAGCTTCTTGCTAACCAGTTAGCAACTTAGTGCTGGTAGTTTCCCAATGGGAAATTACATTAGGACCAAGTAGCACTTAGCAACGACACTGTCAATGAACGCTATGGACAGCGGAAACATGCAAGAGGAGGAGAGTTTAGTGTCAGAGGTCGTGGATGAGTTTCCTCCCTCATACATTTTTTATTTAGAGGAGGAAAGTGGGGATGAAGTTGTTGTGGAAGAGGACGCCAGGGCGGCAGAAGCTTGGATTGGTGTAGAAGATTACAGCCGTACGTGTTTGAGCCCTTGCCTTAAAACGCTGCCAGTTCTGTTAGCTCTTCAGCCGTTTCGTATATTAGCTGCGACATAAGAATCAAGATTATATGACCGAAGAAATTCGATTGCTAGATGACCATTCATATATGATTGGCCCAATTTAGGTGTTCAGGCTGACGTATAACTAACTGGCCTCCATAAAATAAAAAACAGATTTTAAGACAGTTTTTTTTTTAACATAGAGTTTTTTGAGACAATATTGTTTGATAAAGGGTACATTTATATTCATGTTTAAGCCAGAATGATTTTAAATTTAAATATGACTGTCCTAAAACTTTCCTTTAATTGAAAGAAGCTTTGCCTTAGCTGCTACTCTTCAACCTATGTCACAACAAGTCCGTGATTGGTGCCACGGCGCGATTTCAAAGAAAAGCTCTGAATTTTAAACTTCACCGATCATCCCTTCTCTCTCCGTGCGATTCTGCTGTTTGACAACACCCCAGTTCTATCTAGTAGCTAGATACGAACGCTCCCAGCTTGTGGGATTCACCGCTGGCCGCTTAACCGCCCTTCACCACGCAGTTTATTTAGGGGTACTATGTAAATGCACTGCCCTGGCTGTGGACACCAAGCTCGGTCTGCCAACCTTCCAACAAACTACATATAAAAATCCACTTTTTAAATAAGGAAACAAAATATTTCTAACACCAGATTTGGACTGGAAAAACAACTGATATTTAGGATTAAAAGGCAGAAAAGATCTTTGGATTTTTATCATTTATGAGGATTAAAGTTAATGATTACATTAATCTAAAAAAGTAATATGTATTGGTGCATCATATTTGTTAGGTAATCGATGAAAGATAATCTGCATAAGCATTACTCTTTGGGGTATTGTTATAAACCCCTTCCCAAAGAAGTATATTTGGAGAGAAAACAAAATAGTTGGGTTTCTGTACTTTTACGACCCTCTAACTAAGTCAGACCAGAGCTAAGAAGCATTAACACCCAAATATTCAGGATTCCGATTTATTTTGTGCTTAAACATTTGTTGCAGTTGATCCGTGAATTGGGGAATATCAACGTGAAGAAGAAGGAGCCTCCCTTCTGTTATCCATACAGTCTAAAGGCCAGGGTGTTGGTGCTTTCACATCTGGCCCGCATGGAGGTGTCAGAGGAGTTAGAGGAAGGTAGGACTGACTGATGTGTTTAAATATGTTTGACATAAAGTTCTTAAACTTCTTTAAATGTAAACTTTTATGAAGCTTCTGGTTTGTAGCTAAATTAATACTGTATTTTCCAACCAGGCTCTCAGTTGGGTTGTTCTTCTGTTAATATAAATTTGTGCACTGCAGGCATATGTCTATTAAAGTCTCTGGAGTAGCAGAAGTGCCTGAGATCTTAAAGGCTCCGGTTGGGTAATAAAGAAAGTAGCTCTGGTTGTTGAGGCTTAATGAGCTTTAAATAAACTGGAAGAAATTAAAACACACTGAAGGAAAAGTCATTAGACATCCTAGTCATGCAGAAATAAGATCACATTTCTTCTATTAGCTATGTTTAAAGGTCATTTAAAGTAAAAATTGTTTACATTAGGAAACAGTGAGCAGGTTGTGTATGTTTCTTCATCAGATCAGAGATTTGTGTTGAGGAAGACTCCAGCTCTCCTCCAGGAGATGATCAACATAGGCTGCCAGCTCACCATGATGGCAAACAGCAGAGGAGGTTCACACAGCCTGATTACCGAACTCAATCAGCATCATGATGTCTGGGTTTTCTCTCCTTTATAAATCATCTGTGCACTTCTTACCTCATTTACAGCTTTCCACGCTCCCAGACTGACAACCATTGAGAATTTTATGAAGCTGACCCAAATGATCGTGCAGGGCCTGCAGGAGTCCAAGTCACCGCTGCTGCAACTGCCTCATTTCGAAGAGGAGAACCTCCGCTACTGCATTTCAAAGAAGGTACCCATCAATACCTTTATTGGTCTCTGTCTTAGGTTTCAGTCTGTATCAGCAGATAATCAGGGCTTCAACAAATGTGGACATCCAAACACTGTAGAGGAGTTCTAGTAGTCTGCCATGTAATGCAACAGAGGCTTTAGTAAAGCTGTTCTGTTGTGTTACCTGGTAGTGCCGCTGGTCCCAGTTTCTGGTTCCTCTTGATTTTTAACATTCTTTCTAACTGGTCGATGCAATGCAGCAAATATTAACCATATAAGTAGAAACTGTTTTTGCTTTGATATTAGAAACATATTTCAAACAAACATCAGCCTAATATAGAATATACAGATGTTAAAAGGCACCAGAGTCATATGAATTATACTTTTAACTAGAGAACACCTTGGATTTTCTCTTTGATGGTAGAAACTGCAAAACAAGGAGTTATTTTTAGCTTGAAGCTCACTCAAAAACCCCTTTTAGTTGCCGCCTTTTTTTTTTTTTTTTCACACTTTCTAACTGATCTAGGTTTGAATGGCACAATTATTATTATTTTTGTTATATATAGACCCTTTGTTTAGCATTACAAAATACCAGTTAAACATCTCTGTAGTATTTTATTTATCAAATTCTTCTTTTGGGGGGAAATTTTTTTCCGATCGGACAGAGTCGGATTAAAATCTTAAGTCTGATTTTTACATGAAACTTTCGATCTGATCAGAACTTTCTTCTGATTAATTATCTCCATGTAAACATAACTGTTGAAAGCGGAGGAAACAGTTGTGACCCTTTTTGCCAGTAAGAATGAAAAGTCTCTTTTCACTTCTGGTGTGTGATTGAGGTCAGTCAGTTCTGGCACATCCTGCATCGGCCCTTTACTGACAGAATAGTGAAGCGTCCTATCCCATCATAATAAGTATCATCCAGGGGCCTGGAGACTTTTGGATCCTTGATGATTTTGGAGTGTTTTCTGATCCTGTGGGGGGCGCCCTCACTCATAAAGTCTGTGAGTAATAGAGGTGTTTCATACCCCTAACTGGGTAACATATCCTCCAGGTTACAGACATTTAATGTCTTATTATATAAGCTGTTTAAATGCAATTAAGTTTTTTTTATAAATATGTATTTAATAACTTTTAAAGCACATTTTTTACTATATTTATTCATCTAATATAATTTAGAACATCATAAACAACAACTCTAAACGCACATTGTATGTCCCTTTTTAAGCAGGCTGCCATTTTGTTTTTTAAAAGAATGAATCGGTTACATTTTAATGCCAGTATAAGTTCACATGACCTTATTATTCTCGGTGCAGGTGGTTGATCAACCTTTTGCACACAGCCTGTCCAATGACCATATCTCCTAGAATACAAAAAACATTTAATGGTTAATTCTATAAGGACAACCAATGTTTTCTGTGATACACTGAGGAGGCATTCTCTTCCTGTTCCCTTCAGTATAAGGTGCGGTCCCTGCAGGACCTGGTCAGTCTAAAAGACTCAGACCGACGCAACATGCTGCGTTTCCTCGGGGAGGAGAAGTATGATGAGGTCATTGCTGTGCTGGGCAGCTTCCCTCATATCACCATGGACATCAAGCTCCAGGGTTAGTCTTAATGCTCAATCCATGATAAAACCATTTCATTTAAATTGAATTTCCTTGTCAGGAAACATGTTTGAAAGATTAGCCAAATTAATGCTATGCCGTCTTTTTCTGGGCCCAATATTTGACGTTTTGTTTTAATTCAGCAGTTTCTCTTCCTTTTCATTTACAGTCCTTGATGATGAAGACAGCCATAACATCACCGCAGGCTCAATCGTCACAGTAACTGTTACCTTAACCAGAAAGCGTATGGCAGTGAGTATTTCATTTGGCTTAACACTTTGAGTTAATAGAAAGAAATTGCTTTGTTGTGCATACTATGTATGTTCAACCCTAGAGGGTGCTGTTTAACCTATCTAAATGCTGCTATCTGTTTATAGGATATGTTTGAGAAGGAGCAGGAAGCATCAACATGTCAAGGAGAGGAGGCTACCAATACAGAGGAAGCAGTAAGGATACCATAGCAACTTTGATCTGCAGATAGTACAACTTTTTTTTTAACATTTTACCTTCAATAAAACAAAACTATGAATCATGTCTGGTTTTAATCAGGGAGACACGAATAAGGCCAAAACAAAAGTTTGGCAAAACAAGAATAAAGGGGCCAAAAAGACAGCCAAGTCCAAGAAGAAGAAATTGACCAAGAAAAAAGCCACGCCTGCTCCTATTAAAGCCAAGCAGGCTAACGGCAATGTGGCAGGAAATGTAAGCATCCCCAAATCTTGTCTGAAAGAATCCCCTTCCGACAATGTCAACCGTCTGGGATCAGTTTATTGTTCCGTCTCTGCTCTCAGGAAACGGCCGCTGTAGCATCATCTGCAGCATCCGCAACGAAAGAGGAAGATGATGAAGCCTCAGATAAGGGCAGCGAGTCAGAGGAAGGTGAAGCCAACAAGGACTCTCCCAGCGAAAGAGACGATGAAAGCGACAAACAGAGCGACACTGAGGTTGATGAGGGTGCTGGAGATGACGAAGAGGTCGGCATGATTGTTTTTATTCTCAGATTCTTATTAGATTGTCATAACGACTGAGTAGTGATTGTTCTTCATCCAACCTTTTAGGAGTGGGAGGCACTGCAGCAGAGCATCCAGCGGCGAGAACGGGCGCTGCTGGAAACAAAGTCGAAGGTGACGCATTCGTCCTATAGCCTTTACTTCCCAGAAGAGAAGCAAGAGTGGTGGTGGCTGTACATCGCTGATCGCCGAGATCAGACACTCGTCTCTATGCCCTACCACGTCTGCACGCTAAAGGACTCTGAAGAGGTGAGACGAAGAAGAGATGCTGTACAAAATATCAACAAAAAACCAACAAATTTAGATTTTCCTCTTATGGCAACCTTGGTTTAAAAACATTATGTCATCTAGTGCCGCAAGTAATTCTTATTTCGCTAATAGATTAATCTGTGGATTATTTTCTCGATTAAATGATTAATAATCAAATATCAAAAGGTTGCTCAAAGATTTTTTTTACTGTCTAAGTCTTAAGAATCAAACCAGGTGTAACAAAAAAAAAATATTTTTTTCATCTTAAATGAAAAATGTTTATATACTATATATATATATATATATATATATATATATATATATATACTATTTAAAATTTTGGTATAATTCCTGTTCTAAGTATGTTGCTCTGTCAACTAAAGGCATATTTTACAGTCTCTATACTCCAGTTAACGATTAATCAATAATTGAATTAGTTGACGATTATTTCAATAATCGATTGTTTCAGCCTTAATGGCATGACAGCTGTTTTTTGTAAAATCTATAGTTTACTTCTTTCTTTGTTTTCTGTGAAGGATAACTGAAAAATCAGCTGTTGACTGCAATGATGACTTTTCAACAGTTCAATCTGGTAATCAACTTGTAGGAACTACAGAGCCAATCTTATCTTACTGTCAGTGAACGCATCATGCTAACACATTAGCCTGACAACACTCTTTAGTTTGGAAGTTGTGATCTAAAGTTGCCTTCAGTATTAGTGTGATGCTTTGAAAAGAAAGTCGGATGAAGATGCCATCTTCCTCCGACATCTGCAAGTTTAAGGGTCCATTTAGTCTTTTTTCTGCCTCTGATTTGGTTTAAAACCAGTATTTTACGGTCTACCCACCTTAAACCATGAAGCGTGCAAAGCAATGTAATTTATTGGAGTTTTTAGGTTATTTTGTTTAAATGAACTTCTAATCAGTGTATCTTCAGCTTTTCTTTACACCATACTCATCTACATTTCCTGACATGTTGCTAGACAAACCTTTGCAGTTGCCATTTTTCCCTCTGGGGAGTTTGTGTTTATCTTAAAGTGCTTCCCCTCTCAGTCTGGTGTTCTCTAACAACAAGCCAGATTGACAGCAGGGTAAAAACTTAATGAGGGCCCTGCTGGAACGCTGCGCAGCCAGCTGTCACAGCTCAGAACGGACGGGACGGCAGGAGCCACCCCCTTTCATGCATGATGGGTCACTGGCTACCAATCAGTCTGTCACCTCAACAGTTTCTCCTGTTTGCATCGTGAGATTTATATCCTGCATTTGCGAGGAGTGTGTTTCCTGAAATCTAGATTGGCTGCTTTCCCAGGTTGTTTACAGGCAGCTATATTCAGTTTGCTCACGCTGAATAATGAATAGCCTCATTGTGCTGATAATTACATGTTTACTCTATAATTGCACAACCTTGCAATTGCAGCCTCATAGGATTGATACAAATTATTCAGACGTCATTATCACCATAAGTTAAATTAGTGATTGCATACATCCCTGCCTCTTCCTTCTAAAAGGCACATTCTAAAAGGTCTAAAAGGTCCACCATTTTTTTCTCTCTTAGCTACGGAAAAATGTTTTTTATTTATTTATTTTTTTTATGTTAATATTTTTGGAATGTGATTAAACTATTATAGCCTCAGGTATAATGGTGAATGAATGATCTTAAACCAACTTCTCTATGTCTAAGTTGACAAGAGGAACACTTCCTATTAGGAATAAAGCAATGTTGGCGTGTTTTATGTAAAATACATAAATCGTCTAAAGTCAGATTCCTCTTTGCAAACCAAATAATGACAATTTCTTCAGTAGTTTTTTTGCCTTATTGAGAATAATAAGAGGCTGGAATTAACACTAGTGTAAAATGGAAAAACAGCTAAAATTTAAGTTTGGAGCGATCTCAAATCACACATCAGTAGATCAGATTAGACTAGCCTGGTTAATCTGGCACCAATGACAAGTCACTGGATTAATTTCTGGTTTATTATCAGAGCAGAAGAACTTAGTAAGGGGGAGAGGGGATTGTCCTGGACCAAGGAGAGCTCAGTTGCCTACCAAGAAAAATGGCTGGTTTGTGACCAGCTGTTAAATATGGAAGAGGATTTGGGCCACTGAAAAAAAAAAAGTTTACTGATTTTAAAATTTTATTTCAGTTTAGTATGGGAATTCTGAGTTTTTTATTGTCAGAATTCAGTCAGAATTGTGAGAAAAAAATTCAGAATTCTGACTTTTTTCCCATACTAAACTGAAATAAAATGTAAAAATCAGTTGACGTTTTTGTTTTTTTTTTGTTTTTTCCAGTGGCCCTAATCCTCTTCCGTAGTTAAAGGAATATTTTAGCTGGGAATAAAAAAAAAAAAAAAAAAAAAAAAAAAGATTATTGAAGTGGCCTAGTCATGTAAAAAAAAAAAAAACACTTAAAATAAATCATAAGAAAACTGTCCTTTTTTTTTTTTTTTTTTTGCCTGAAAAGACTTTTGCACCTGATTTTGAAACTGATTGTTTTTTTGTTTTTGTTTTTTTGTGGCTTGCTCTTCTGTGTCAAACACCTCCAAAATCTAAAAGCATTGTATGATCTCTTAGAGTAGTGGAGTGGGGGTGTGTTGCTATTGATGCCAATGGCATTAAATTAGGCTGTCTTAAAGCTTTTTGTCTCTGCAAGAGATCAGAGCTGCGAGACTACCAACCATTCGAGGCGTAGAAGGTTGCAAATATGAATTTTCCCGTCAGAGATAATATGGAGAGATGATAGACCCCAATGTCGTCTCATAAACACTTAGATTATCACAGCAGGGACTTAAAAAGGATTTATGAAGGTAAAAATATTATTTGGCACTGCTTTAAGGATGTAAAAGTAAGGTGTCAAGTCATCCTTTATGCCTTTTCTGTGGAGATCATTGACATCTTTTTGATTTAAAATTAAGAGTCAAGATCATAATCTTAAAATCCATTGAGTCAGGGATCATTTAGGGGTTTTGGATGTTTTTTTTTTTTTATTGTTGTTTTTTTGTTTAAATGTTGATGATTACATGTTTCTTTTTTTTCATTTTTCAGGTGGAGCTAAAGTTTCCAGCCCCATCCAAAAGGGGCAACTATCAGTACTCAGTCATCCTCCGTTCCGATTCCTACCTGGGCCTAGATCAGATCAAACCACTGAAGGTAACAGATGCTTTTATGCATAAGTTAAAACGAGATTTTATCTTTTAATTTTTCTTGCGATGTTTCCTGCAAAGATATTATCAATTTTTTTTAAATATTTAAAATTCTACCCAGACTGCATAAATGATCAAATGATAGCACTTCCTTATTTAAAGCAATGTTCAAAAGAAATATTATATGAAGAACTGTAATGTATTATAAGTTAAAAAGATTGATGCTGATAACCTCTGCTAGATTTCAAACTGTTTAAATTATGTATTTTATGGGGATATTAAGTCATGAATATTAAAGTGCAACGAGCCGGAGAGAAGTGATGGCGCATCAGCTTTTAGAGGGAATGTCATTTCTAAGTGGAACATCTGAAGCACTGCAGGAGTTAATTTGGATGTCTCAATGCAGCTCACTAAGGGAGTTACTGTTATATTTCAACTGATGACCTGATATTAGGTATATGCTTATTAGAGAGCTAAATAAACAACACATTTCCTCAAACATTGCTGCACCTTTTATAAATGACAATTTAGGTACTGTCTTCTGAAACAAAAGTTTTTATTTTCAGCATATTTGGATGCTCCAATGCATAAGATAAATAACAATACTGAAGAATATAAGTAATCCAACTAAACATTGATATACATAAAAAAAAGCACTTTAAAATACAAGTAAAATAGAATTTGGAGGAAGAAAAGGATTTAGGGCAGCAGCGCTATTTAATTCCCCTTCCACTAGCAATTGTGATAATGATTTCTACTCCAAGTTTGGAAAAACGTTTTGCTGTTTAAACACCGATTCAGCTTAATGTGCTGCTGAGTTTTGAAGATCGGACACCATTGTCAGATCTAAAGAGGCTGGAGCCTTCAAAAAGATTGTAGCATTTTCTTTTTTGATAATTGGATTTAAAGACATGTTTGTACCAAAAACAGTCTGTAAGTGTTAAATGTTAAAAACTCCCATCAGGCCTAGCTTTTTCATTTAAACCCTTAGCTCCCACCCCCGGCCCCGAATCATTTTGACGTCACAGTTTGTTCCGCTAAGCAAGCTTGTCTACTAAAGCAAGACGTTGTACCTCCTTCGAATCGGGCGATCCTAAAGAAAATAACCATCTCAATTGTAAGCCAACTATACTCCACAAACACACATAACTGATATTCTGTCACCAAATTACAATTCATAATTTTCACTTCCAAAACATTTTTTATTCTGGCATAAATGGGCTAATTTTGTCCATAATACTCCACAAAAAGTTGTTTTTCCCCATGGAATAAAATCATGCCGTAATAATCAAATTTATACATGTTCTTGGCACCGCGGGCTCCAAGAACACGTCGTCACTGAAAGCTGGAGCAAGGGCTTAACCAGTTAACCCTTTGATTTTAAGTGTAATATACACTTGTGTGCTTGTACCGGTAAGTGTTGAAAGACCCTGAGTAGACAATTATTTTCTAGGAAAGTGATGAAAAGTCCAGTTATCTTCATCCTTGAATTTCCTGGGCGTTTAGTTGAGCCCTAAAAGTACTAAATATTTGGAGATAAACTGACAGAAATATGTTTTTATTTTTTATATCTGTCAATTTTGAGGCCTATTGGTGTTACTGTGACAAACAAAATGCAGTGGACAATAACGCCAGTAATACGCAGACAATTTAAAAACATAGTACGATGGTAGCATGACGGTTACAGAGAGATGGCGCCATAACATTTTGTTTCAGAGAACATGTGGAGATGGGGCCTGAAGAACATTGTAATTTATATATATTATTACTATTGTTTTAAATATTAGCAGCTCTTATGGTGTAACACAAAAATTCCCAGTTTTGTCCTCTATATGATATTTATTACTTTATTATATAGGAAATAATATTATAGAGATGTGTAACTCTTATTAAACAGAATGACCGATATATATCTCAGAATAGGTGAATGTGGCAGGGAAATCAAACAGTTATTAATAAAGTAAAGTGATATTCAGTAGCCAGAAAAATTATAGAAACCAAAAATTAACAATAGGGATTTTTTCCCCCCCTTATGATTAATGATATAGGAAGAAATATATGACATTAACTAAAACAGTTTTGGTTAAAAAAGCTTCTTTCTTACCACAATGAGCCCTATGGTTTATATATATATATATATATATATATATATATATATATATATATATATATATATATATATATATATATATATATATATATATATATATATATATATATATATATATATATATATAATCTTCATTGTGTAAAAAAATACTGAAAGTTTCTGTCAAAAGCTGGACAAAGAAAATAATTTGAGTTAGAACCAACCATAAAGCAAAAATCCTGCGAGAGGAGAAAAGGAAAAAAAATACCTTTATTACTAGTAATATGTTTCTCAGTGTATGCAGTTACTAGTAAAGGTATTTTTACAACATTTAATTTGCTATTCTATTTTTTGAATATCCTATCTATTATTTACTGCAAGATGATCTCAGCATCAGTACATTTAGAAGCTGGTGTCTTATATATATTTTAAAGCAATGCTTCTTTCTGTGCGTTTTATCAGCTTGAGGTCCACGAGGCCAAGGCAATGTTGGATAACCATCCGCAGTGGGACATCCCCGACACGGAGGAGGAGGACGAGGAGCAGGAGGACAGCGACGGCATCGAGGAGAGCGACGACGAAGACGAGGACAACGACTGAAGGGGCAGACGGGGAACGTGTTCAGGCCCCTCCCCCCCGGAGCGGATGCCCATTCACTAGTGACGAGGAGAAGCCGTGCCTGCCATAAACAAAGCGAAACAAAAACCACACAATGAATAAATCACTGAGGAAAGTTTATACACCCAGAAGCCGCCACCGTTTTACTTTTCCATCATGAATTGTGACCCCACATCTGTCTCGCCCTTTCTAAAGAGACTTGTTTCATGGGGGATTTCTGTGAATACTAACAGGCCTGAGTGTGTGAGTAAATGAGTGTGTGCTGTGTAAAGTGTATGTGTTTGTACAGGAATGAGAGCAGACCAGTTTGCACTAAAGGACCTATTACTATAAAATGGGCTCTTTTCCTCGAGGCGGATAAGTAACGGCTACATCTGTTTGCAAAAACTAACTGAAACTGTATGGAGATTGTCTCCGGACTTTCTTTCAGTTTTTCAGTTTTTAAAATCGTTCTGCACCAATTTTTTCTCCACACCAGTGATACTTTCTGTTGTATATCTTATCTGCAGAGGTGAATATTAAAGAAACATTTTGTCTTTTGAGTCCAGAGGGGCACAAGTTTATTTTATTGTATTCCTTTTTAAAAGTTTTTGTTTTTTTCCTTGGCATCACACCTGATTTTTATTTGTACATTTTTATGTACTTCATATTTAGGGAGATGTCTGCGGAGAGAATGGGGAGGAAATTGTTTTTGTTGTATTAAAAAAAAAGAAAAACTGCTGGATCTTGACATATTTTGCTTCAAACTAGGAGAAAATGACCAAATTTGCAGCGTTAAAAGATATGAAAAATATAAATGCCCCAGCCAAAATTTGATTGGCTATCAGTAGATCATATATTAAACAGGTTTCTTCTCCCATTTTTATTTAGTGTATCCAGATGATTTCCCTTTTATTAATGCACCTTTGGACTACAATAAAAATCTGAAAGTTTAGGGTAAAATGTTTTGATTCAGAAATGAGGGTAATCTTTTTTTCCCTGCTACTTAAAAACTACCTCTGTCAAAGAACCTACAGCACACGTTTTTGTTTATTTTCTCTTATCTAAATCTGAATCAGAATGTCAGAAAATGGAAATAAAAATAGTTGCCTTTTTTAACAGTTTAAATCACTTCATCTCACTCTGAAAAACAATAAAAGGCTTTTAACCTTTTGTGCTGACTAAGATGGGGATCTACTCTCGTAGAAAGGTTCTTTACAGGGTTTCCTTCTTGGTTTTTCCACATTTGTAGCACATTCCAGTGTATGTCATCGTCCTATAAGGCCTTATGAATACAACTGAAGAAGATTTGATTTATTTTCCCTGTTAAAAACAAAACAAAAAACATCCTAAGTGTTTCTTTATAGTAAACTAAAAATCCACACTGTCTGGGTTACATATCGGTCACTTTGTCTTGATTTAGTATAGTTGTTTTCAGATTTTCGGTTAAGTACTTAGAAGCTTGAATGTGATGTTTCTGCCTGTTGGAAGTTATTTTTGGTTTCAGACTAAATGTCCTTTATTTCTGACCACAAAGCAGAACCAGCTCACGTTTGACCCTCGTTTACCAATCTGACGTTTACAATGAAAGGGAGCCGTTTTTCATTTAAAGATTTTTTTCTCCGTTAAGATGTTGAATTATGTAATCCGTCTTGGTTTGTTGTGTTCTCTTTATTTTACACCTTCTGTAAAAGATCAGAGCTTTATTATCCAACTCTGTAAACTCATTGAGTCGCTTACTTGGAAGTTTTATTTCTTATTACATTTCGTTAAGAAAAACTGTTCATTATTTTTTGTTTACCAGTACATACTGGTGACACATGTAAGTGTAGGAGATGTGTTTTTGAATATTTGAGGCCATGCTCCATCCGTAGAGCACAGGCACAGATAGTACCCCCCTCTGGTAACAGATCAGAGTAGAGTAAGACTCCAGGTACTCATACAGGTGCTGGTCATAAAATTAGAATATCATGAAAAAGTAGATTGATTTCAGTAATTCCATTTAAAAAGTGAAACTTGTATATTATATTCATACATTACATACAAACTCATATATTTCAGATGTTTATTTTGTTTAATTTTGATGATTACAAATGACAACAAATGAAAATCTCAAATTCATCATATCATAAAATTAGAATATTACTGAAGACCAATAAAAACAAAGGATTTATAGAAATGTTGGCCAACTGAAAAGTATGAACATGAAAAGTATGAGCATGTACAGCACTCAGTATTTAGTTGGGCCTCCTTTGGCCTGTATTACTGCAGCAATGCGGCGTGGCATGGAGTCGATCAGTCTGTGGCACTGCTCAGGTGTTATGATAGCCCAGGTTGCTCTAATAGTGGCTTTTAGCTCTTCTGAATTGTTGGGTCTGGTGTATTGCATCTTCTTCTTCACAATACCCCATAGATTTTCTATGGGGTTAAGGTCAGGAGAGTTTGCTGGCCAATTAAGAACAGGGATACCATGGTCCTTCAACCAGGTACTGGTAGCTTTGGCACTGTGTGCAGGTGCCAAGTCCTGTTGGAAAATGAAATCTGCATCTCCAAAAAGTTGGTCAGCTGCAGGAAGCATGAAGTGCTCTAAAACTTCCTGGTATGTGGCTGCGTTGACCCTGGACCTCAGAAAACACAATGGACCAACACCAGCAGATGACATGGCACCCCAAACCATCACTGACTGTGGAAACTTTACACTGGACTTCAAGCAACGTGGATGAAGTGCCTCTCTTCTTTTCCTCCAGACTCTGGGACCTTGATTTCCAAAGGAAATGCAAAATTTACTTTCATCAGAGAACATGACTTTGGACCACTCACCAGCAGTCCAGTCCTGTTTCTCTTTAGCCCAGGCAAGACGCTTCTGACGCTGTCTGTGGTTCAAGAGTGGCTTGACACAAGGAATGCGACAGCAGAAACCCATGTCTTTCATACGTCTGTGTGTGGTGGTTCTTGAAGCACTCACTCCAGCTGCAGTCCACTCTTTGTGAATCTCCCCCACATTTTTGAATGGGTTTTGTTTCACAATCCTCTCCAGGGTGCGGTTATCTCTCTTGCTTGTACACTTTTTTCGACCACATCTTTTCCTTCCCTTCGCCTCTCTATTAATGTGCTTGGACACTGAGCTCTGTGAACAGCCAGCCTCTTTAGCGATGACCTTTTGTGTCTTGCCCTCCTTGTGCAAGGTGTCGATGGTCGTCTTTTGGACAACTGTCAAGTCAGCAGTCTTCCCCATGATTGTGTAGCCTATAGAACTAGACTGAAAGACCATTTAAAGGCTTTTGCAGGTGGTTTGAGTTAATTAGCTGATTAGAGTGTGGCACCAGGGGCCATCAATTTTGAACCTTTTCACAATATTCTAATTTTCTGATATGATGAATTTGAGATTTTCATTTGTTGTCATTTGTAATCATCAAAATTAAACAAAATAAACATCTGAAATATATGAGTTTGTATGTAATGTATGAATATAATATACAAGTTTCACTTTTTAAATGGAATTACTGAAATCAATCTACTTTTTCATGATATTCTAATTTTATGACCAGCACCTGTACTTCTGCAACAGAATGTAGCATCCGTCAGTTTTCTGCATGGGAGGAAATTTAAACCCAAAAAGCTGCATTGAGGCTCCGCCATCCCTCCCAAGATGAACCTTATCCAGGTGAATGATAGTTTGGAGAAGCAACTACCCAAATGACTATGGATCTGCCACTTTTGTTTACAAAGAAGCTGTCATTGTAAATGGGGAAAAAATATATATAATTTGTATTTAAAATCATTTCAAATAAAAAAAAAAAAAAATCAAATGAGTTTGCTTGTTTTGTATCTGAACTAGCTGGTCTTGAAACTGTTGCTAGATGTAAGAAAATATTAATTTCCTTGTTAATGCGGTGGTGTACAGTTCTAGAGATACAAGTAGGGTTTCCAAAAGTTGATGGACATGGCTGGTATCGTATTAGTAAGATTTAAGAAAAATCTAACGACACATTACCAGATTATTCAGCCATAATTTGCATACAATAAATCCCTTATGCACTTTATTTTCATACTCATCAAAAAAGAAGTAAAAAAAACAAAACTATTTGCCTAATTTTATATATATATATATATCTTAATAATGTGCTCCGAATTTAATCTGTAAGGTATTTGCAAAGAAAAACAAAAACATTGTCTTACTAAAAATTAAAGGATGACTTGTTAAATATGTAAAAATATTAGGTTTTGTCAAAGTAATGAAAATTATCTTATTAACTAATTTGTGAATTTTTTTTAAATGGAAAAAAAAAAACTTCACATTTTAAAATATATTCTATATATTCTATATATATATATATATATATATATATATATATATATATATATATATATATATATATATATATATATATAGTGTGTGTGTAATGTAAGTTTTTAAAAAGGCCACTGCTTATAAGACCCGGATATATGAATATATTGCTATGTTGTTCTGTATACTTACAGAACAACATAGCAATATTAGGACACAAACTTCCAACATCACAACCTCCCATTCTACTGTTAAATACTATCAAACTTGAGCTACCATTACACATAATGAATCATTGGAATCATATTATAGGCTAAAATTATTAAGACTTACAATGGCCCTACTAAACCAGGCACAAATGTGGAACTCGGCCATTTGCAGATTTTATCAGGGCCATAATGTTGCAACAGATTCTGCTAGTCAGGATTTTTGAATAGATTAAGAAACTCAGATTCTTTACTAGTAATTCCACTCACTTTCCATTTCTCTGGGCCTTGACATGCTACACTAAAGCTAGTGCACTTCAGGTTTCACTATTAATAGTGATCTTCGCCTTGTGTTGTGTTCAAGAGATGAAAAATGGTAAAGACAGTAAAATAATCGATTTAATCGATTTTGAATCGATTCCTTTACAAATTTGCAAAATCGATGTCTAGGGAATGAGATCGATTCATTTTATAGTGACCCGCGTGACGCTCATATTCAAAATAAGATGCACTCAAGAGGACTTCAAGCCAGACAGCTGCACATACACCCAATAGTTTGACTGAAGACATTTACAAATGGGGGTTGACCAGAAAACACCCTGTAGTTGTTACAGACAACGCTGCAAATATGGTTTGTTCCGGGAAGATAATGCAGCTCATGCATGTCTGCTGTGTCACGTCTGCTTGCTCGAGTGAGGCTTCACTTTTTCACTTTTCACAAACAAGTTTAGACTTTTGAGACAGTTTTGTTCACATCTCATGTTTAAACTGTCTGATCTACAAGTTTGCACGTTGTGTTTAATGTGACAGGAAAAATAAAATACATGAGTATTTTGAAACACAGTTGAACCATTTTCATTATTGTAAAAACAGATTGAATCGAAATGAATCAATTTAGAACTGTATGAATCAAAATCGAATCGATTCAGGACTTTGGCGAAAAAGCCTTAAGATTTACTGCACTTTAGAAAATGCAAGCAGTATGAAAGCTGTTGCACTCAGTGTAACAATATTTGTAATGTTTTTTGTAACTTGTAATCATATTTTTACTCATTTGTTGCACTTTATAAAGTCTGTTGTACAGCAATTTGGGCAGATGTAGCTGTTTTTAAATCTGCTATAAAAATAAAGTTGACACTGACGTGCTTGCAATCATTTAAGGTCACATTTTGAAGTTAAATACACAAATGAACTTTTGCATGATGTTGAATAAAGATGCTCCTGGGGTAGGGGACGATTAAAGATA